ATGTAACCGTGTTCCTAAGGATTACAATGAGTTTTGGATTTATCCAGATGATCTACATACATTTTCGAATAAATGTTTGAATTGCAGATGTAGTCGAAATAGACATATTGATATTAATTATAAACTTGATTATGAACTTTCAAATAATGTAAATAAACAATTTATTGATGAAATAAAATTGAAATCAGATCAACTCAACCAAGCAATTTTTGAATTTGGATGTTTTTTTGTTGATACAACTCGGACATTGAAAACAAATGATCTAATATTGTCTTTTTTAAATCAAATGATCGAAGAAGAAAATCAAATTTGTCAATTAAAAACTAATAATAATCTTAATTTAATATTATATAAACAACTCAATCAATTTAAAGAAGAATATGAACAAAGACAAAATGTATCAATATCAAATAAAAATTCAATTAATCTGAATAAAATCTATATATTAAGCCAGAATATAAGTAGAATTGATCTAATTGAAAAACAAATAGATGTTATCAAACAATATCATCGGACATATATGAACGAGCAAGAAAAACAACTATTATAGAAATTAAATATAATTTAATAAACACTCATGCATTTTCAATGTATTTTAGGCATAAATAAAATTAATCAGAATATTAATAATAAATTTTATTTTTCTAATGTGTTTCATATCAGAAGGCTAACTTAATCGTTGAGATTTTAAGTCTAATTTAAATAAAAACACCCACACCCCACCCTACATTTAATGATCAACACAAGTCAATTTATATTTGACTCGATTTTAGGCGAAGCAATTTTTTTTGGTGAATAATCTTAAACTATTGGATTGGTACATAAGTTTTGCACGTTTTTTTTGGTTCACTAACAAATTTATTTTTCAATAAAAATATGCAACATCAATCAAAAATATAATCACCATTGTTTTTGACAAACTTCACCCATCTTGCTGGCAATAATTCAATTCCACGTTTGTAGAGACTAGCCGACAATGAGATTGGATTTTAGCTCATCGAAGCCTTCATAGTGTTTGTGGCACAGATAGTTACAAAGGGATCGGAACAAATGAAAATCGAATAGTACAAGGTCTGGTGAGTACGGCACGTGCACAAGAATTGCCCATCCCAATTGTTTGATTTTTTGCTGAGTCAACTTTTCTATATGAGGTCGACCGTTGTCATGGAGGAGAATGACGCCTTTTTGATCCGTCAAAGCCGGTCGCTGTTCAAGTAGAACGTCATGCAATCGCTCCAATTGTTTGACTGGTATCTAAAAGCTCGAGATCGATGACACCCTTCATATTCCATCAAATGCACAACATTATCTTCTTTGGATGTAAGTCTGCTTTTACATCCGGTAATTGTTTTTGATCGGCATCAAGCAATTGCCTTCTACGATGGATGTTGACATAACATACTCATTTTTCATCTCCAATAACAATTCATTCCAAAAACCCAACTTCCGTACTAATGAATCTTTCTGAGACCACGAAGATGACGCTTCACTATCACGTGGAAACAGCTGAGTTGTGCGGCTAGGTTACGTGTTGTTTGATGTGAAGCAAAGCTTGCAACGCTTTGTCGTCAAAGTGCACAGGTTGCCTGGAGTGAGGTCTATCCGTCAAGGCGGTATCTTCGGAACGGAACTTGACAAACCAACGGCGACAAGTGGAGCTGTCGACGGCTTCTTCGCCACATGCAGTACAAATATTCCTTATTGCTTCAGCTGCTGTTGAGTCTGGTCGGAACCGTGTTCTCTCATTTGCGAACATAAAATCGAAATTGAAAATCTGTTAAATTCAATTTCAGCTGCTTTTTAAATTAAGTTTATTCAAATTTAAAATAATCTTAAGTTTGAAATTTTCTGTTTTCAAATTTCAAAAAGAATTTACTGATATAAATTTTTAAAACAAATTAAAATTTCAATTATACTTTTAAACTTGTTGAAATTTATAGAGTTCGCTAGAGATTGAGTTTCATTATTTCAATTTAACGATCTGCAATTTGTAGAGTGCTCTAAACTACAATAGTGCTTCTTTTCTTTGTAATTACTGAAATTTATAGAGTTCGCTGGATGTTGAGTTTTAGTATTTCAACTTAATGAGCTGTAATTTGTAGAGTACGCTAAAATATAATAGTGCCTTTCTTATTCTTAATTGACTATAATTTATAGAGTTTGTCGGACATTATTGTTACTATGAATGCCATCAACTGTTTTTGATTTTGACCAGGGTGCGGGTGTGGGGTGTGGGGTGTGGGTGTGGGTGTGGGTGTGGGTGTGGGTGTGGGTGAGTGTGGGTGTGAATCTTCTTCTCACTCACACGCACACCCGCACCCTTCCTATTTAGATCAATCGCAACAACGAAATCAAAAGTAAGTATTATTTACTTAAAAATATCTTTTTAAATTTTATTTAGTTTAATATGAAATTCAAAATAATATGGAAGTATTATTTTTAAAAAAAATCTTCTTTTTTCTTTAGACCAATCGCAACAACGGAAGCAAAAGTAAGTATTATTTACTTAAATATATTTTTTTTAATTTTATTTAGTTTAATATCAAAATTCAAAATAATATGTAAGTATTATTTATATTAATTACTATCTTTTTCTATTTAGGTCCATTCGAACAAGGAAATCCAAAGTAAATATTTATTTATATGTATGTATTTGTTTTTCTTTATTTAGTACAATATGAAGTTCAAAATAATATGTAAGTATTATTTATATAACTTTATTTTTTCTTTTATTTAGGTCCATCGCGACAAACGCAATCATAAGTAACGCTGGAGACTAATTTGAAGGCACATCGATTCGTACTGTCAACCTTTTCCCTCGCATAACAACAAAGAACTTTAAGAAACAGCGATGTCATGGCTCACAACTGTACATGTTCTTCTAAGCAAAAAATAAATTCTAAGTGGTTCGAATGATATTCCATGGAAAAGTTTAAATTGCAAAATAGACAAAGAAAATATCTCATTTGGCAGTCTAAACTTTTTTGTGGACTATCGTTCGAACCACTTAGAATTTGTTTTTTGCTTAGAAGAACATGCACAGTTATGAGCCGTGGCATCGTTGTTTCCTAAAGTTCTTTGTTGTTATGCGAGGGGAAAGGATAACAGGTTGAAATGGTGCGCCTCGAAGTTAGTCTCGAGCGCGGATGTGTTTTATACACTCTTTCCGAAATCCTTGCATGGGTATATGAGCATTTCCTAAACCCTTTGAGAAACGGTTGGGTCAGTTTATGTGTGTTTCCTAAACCCTTATATGGGTTGATGAATGTGCCCTAAACTCTTGCCTATACCCTTACATGGGTTTAAGAGCATTTCCTAAACCCTTATATGGATTTATGAGTATGTCCTAAACCCTTGCCTATACCCTTACATGGATTTATGAGCATTTCATAAGTCCTTTTCTCAATCTCATCCGTACTTACGAGGGAACATTTCCAAGTGTGAGTCTCAGTTTTAAATGGGATATATACCAGTTTGTAGAGCTCGACGAGCTGATTCTTGTGGTATGTTCCGTTTTTGCCCATAGACCTCAAATGAGAAAAATCAATCGATTTTAATAGTGAATTTCTTGCCTAGATAAATTGTAAGATATTTGTTAGGAAATCAAGAGATCAAGGTTATTTGAAGTTCAAATGGTCGTATTAACATAGACAACGGCACGTGCAATATATTTGAGTGTACTTCAATCAAATGTGCTTCACGACTTATTACTGTTAGTACGTGATAGTGTAATGCTATATTAAACAAATAAGATAACGATAGTTCTTTTCGTTGTATTGTTATGCACGCATGATACACATCCCTTATTTTCTCATTCTTTCTAGTATATTCTAATTGGTTCTTTCTCTTTCTGTTCTACGCTTATCGGCTATCAAAAAATTCTGTGACTTTCTAACATTTTCGAGTGAATTCTTCCGCCTTCTTTCGAATCTATTAATAATGCCAAACTACGGAGCAAAACATTGTCGTGTATGGATTTGTATGAGTATTACACACGTAATGACGCATATTTTTCTTCTTTCTGCACACGTGTAGATTATTTTAACGTGCAATTCTGTAATGAGTTGTATGAGTCAGTGCTTTTTTTCCTTCTAAAGTAGAGCGCCACCATTTGCAGTAATGCATGTATAGTGCAGATACCCGGTCAATATTGTTAGAAGCTAATACAAGAATCGTTATTTTTGCATAAAATAAAAATCAAATATTTAAAATGATGAAGTTCTATCGAAACTTATGTTTTTCAATGCTCTAGTTAAATAAGAATCAGCTCTGTTATGAACCTTGTAATAATAACAGCATTACAGAAAAACAATGTTTTACTCGATCGATATATTATTATTGTTGAAAAAGAAAAAAGAAAAAAATTAATTCCATGCACTGTGATAAGGCGCGTAAAAAATATAGTACTTGGGAAACTGCAGTTTGTTAGAAATGAAATACAGATTCAGGTAATTCCATTTTTTTCACTAATTCATTTAGTTTTTTTCGATCTAATGTGGTCAGTTCAAGATTTTTCACTTGTGCCATTTTATCTCTACTTAATATAGTGCCGGCTTGTGAATCTCTATTCAATGCAGTCACTGCTTCTGAAATAAGTAATTTTGAAATACCGCAGACATCAAAAACTGCACTAAGAGTGTCTTCTGGTTTTGAAACTAAATTTTCATATGTTACTTCAGGAAGAGCATAATAATGTCTATTTTTCAGAAAAAAAGAATAAGGAGCGCCAAAAATAACCATTGTTGATTCTAATAAGCCTTGTGGTTTAACTTTATCAGTGGTACATTTTTCATATTGATATCCGAATAACCACTTTCCTAATTTAGGAAAATTTGTGTTCAAGTACATAGCTGCCTTCCAAATATCATACCCATGTATCATTTTATATGTAGAAATAAGGGCCTTTTCCACATTTTCACGAAATTGAAATATGTGAATAATTTCAGGAAGAAGTTTATGAATATGACCAACTAAGGGTGCAGCCTCCGCTGGCATTTTCAGTATATAAATCTGATCTTCTGTCATATCTTTGCAATATGTATAAAATAGTGATCGAAGTATAGCGTTGAATAAGTCTGGAGACAATATGTTCTCATCATACATCATCACTAGATTCGTGAAAGTCATAGGTTCTGCAATAGTTACAACTTGCTGGCCAACTTGAACCATTTGAGTGATCAGTGTAGAACCACTTCTAGGACAATTAGTGAAAAAAACTACTTTTCCTTTTATAGGTGCCAATGAATGACATGCAAACGTGCAAAAATCCCTAAAGAAAATTGATCAAAATACTTATAGAAATTTATCATCATAATTTACTTGATTGGCATTCGAGCTAATTGACGAGCATCAGTAAACAGTTTTACGAAAATAAAAGGTGCATTTTTCACATTGTATTCTGATATTGGTTTTGGTAATAATGTAAAGTAAGCATATCGTTCAGAAATTGTATATAATACCCAATTTGGGTTATATTTCAATAGATTTTCAGCATCGGAAAACTTATCATGTAACCACATAAAATCACAATCTCTGGAGATAGCACCCTCGACGGACTGTAGACGATACAAAATAGTCAGAATTTCGCATTGGATAGTAGGACTATTTTTAGGAAATCGAAACCAATATGATTGAAGATGGGATATGACATCTGTAATAACGCGATAAATGATATAAATGATGAGTTTTAATATATTCATCGTGTAGTTTGGATAAGAGAAACGTATACACAATACCCTCTCGGTAGTGTTTTTTTTTGAAGAAGAAGAGGCGATGTGTGCAAATATTCTCAGCTGCACTGTGTAATCAGAAGATAACGCAAAAAAAAACAATGTGCTAGCGATAATAATAAATATACGAGAGCGAGTGTTGTTACCATAGTTTTGTAGTCAACTCTTTGGAGGTTATTTTCTCAGGATATTTCAGAGACAATACCTAAAGATCCTCAAGTCCTGTACTATAAGAATATACTCTTATTGTCATATAATGAAAATCAATTGGAATGTCATAGTGAAGTATATTAAGGGAGATTGAAGGATAAACTTTCTTTGCTTAGTTTTTGCGAATGAGAAAGAAGAACTTAAATGGTAGACGACTTTGTACAGTCAAAGGATCTGGTACTTGTCACTTTTTGAAGTACATATAACGCTCGGATTTAAATCCGAGGTATCGTTACAACAACGTTCAACTGAAAAATCTTTGATGTTTCTCAGCGACAAGAATACATTTTCTAAACCTACCACACTCGCTAATTTTAAATCCTTCATGTGATTCCTTCAGAGTACTTTTGAACAATTCAATTACGAACATCTTCGTTTGTTTTTCAAAGGATTAAAGATCTTGATCTAATCCTTCCTCAACTGCAATTTGGATAACATAAGGTGGTTATCCATTGTTACTCGATGATTTTAAGAAAATAACATGTTTCTTCTTCGTATTGTCATATTCATATTTGACAAAATGAAACCATGTTGCAGGCCATATTAAATATTCCTCTTCACTAGGATAGTGAGATAGATGTGATATAATGGCACCACAGCGAATGTTATCTGCAGT